GAGATGTGTATAAGAACAATGTAATCTAACCGAATGCGAAGATTTCTTGGCACTGGGGCAGAGAGCATTGATCGAATGTGCGGCACTGAAAAAGTTTGCACTCAGTGCGCACTAGTGCAAGCTGCCGAATTTGCTATTAGAGTCCTAGATTGGCTGCGTTCCGTTTCACGCATAATGCGCATAATATATCATGGTATCTTTGTTGTTCACCACATGTTAAACAAAGATAAAAGGATAAATCATGCGCATCATGCGTAAAACGGAACGCAGCCATTATCAGAGCTACCGGCTTATGGCAGTATCGCAAAAGTACTAGAAAATATTAAAAATGGCAAATGGCCAATCATAAAATTGATTTATTCGGCAGTCATTTATAATACCGATAAATCAATCTTATGATTGGTCATTTGCGAGTCCAATCAGGACTCGTAACACCGGTTACGCTTCTCTGATAATCTAAAACTCGCTGAGTAGACCTACTGGTTATACTGTGGTGGTCGCGCTTAATGGAAACGCACTCTAAGGTTTCACTCTTTTCACTGCTACTGCTATGCGTAGCTTCCGTTTTTGTTACGCATGCGCGAAAAATTTAGTCCAATTTAGAGAGCCTACAATCAGAGAGTCGGTCCTCGAATCGCACGCTGATTGGCTCAGGGCGTGAGATCACGTGACGACTTGTCGACTCTCAATTATGGCTGCGTTCCTCTTGGCGCTTACAGCGCTTATAAGCATCATTTGTTTTTGTTTAATATTTGATAAACAACAAGGATGAAATGATTTTGTGAGCGCTGTAACCAGCTGTAAGCGCCAAACGGAACGCAGCCTATAAGCTCTCTAGTCCGATTCACACTGTTGCATACAAAATACGTTTAGTTAGAAATAAAATCGGCCAATCATAATTGAAAATTGTCATAAACGAACGATATATTTGAAAATCTAGACTGTGATTGGTTTGTTTTACCGCGTAAGGCTGCATTCGTTTTCGCAGTTACAGCGCTCACAACATCATTTCATCCTTGTTGTTTATCAAATGTTAAACAAGGACAAATGATGATTATAAGCGCTGTAAGCGCCAAACCGAACGCAGCCTGATTGCTGTTTTGTTTCTCTGCAGCATCACATTCCTACGATTGTCGTTTGTTCTTTTCAATCGTATTCTCTGTATCTTCTTCATCATTCCTTTCTCATTTTAACACTTGATTAGACGGGTATTATGAGTATTATCTGCAGCTATTTTATTTTGAAGAGGCTCACAATCAGATAGGTATAGTGAACTTCGCTGGCAGCCCTCCTGGCGAAACGTGAAACGAGAGCAAGTCACGAGTTTCGAACGATCGTCGCGTACAGTGATTTATGTTAAATGGTTATATTTTTTAACTTGTGACAATGCCGAAATTACATAGAATTGCACAGGACCAAAAGGCGCCTGCTATAAAAAGCACGGGCATATCCGTCATGAAGGTAATTGATTCTCATTTAATTTCTTGAATAATGAGATGCAGACAAGTCGCATTTCCTCGCATTTCCTCATTTCTCTGACAAAAATAAAATCAGAACGTAGTTAAGTCGAATGTAAAGGGAGAGAGAAACGTATAAGTGAAACTTAGAAAACGTAAATTGGAACAGTGAAAGAAGCATTGATAAATTTCTACCGTAGAAGTTTCGTAGAAGTTTCGTTTACGCTTCTATCATTCTCTTACACTCAACAAGTTACGCACCTATTTTTATTTTCACCAGGTTTCACATTTATACACAGAAAAAATTGATGTATTAACAGCATTAGCTAACAGTAATCTAACAATACTATGAAACAATTATTTACTGAATCTCTTGAATAAGAGTGATTTTTTTCATTAATATAAGTTATTGAGTTAATAAAATTATTTTCAATTAAATTGTTGTTAGCTACGTTAGCTGTTAATATATTATTTTTCCATGCATATGATCTTTTTTGGTTTTTTGTTTCAGAAACAAAGAAAAAAGAAGATTGATAAAGGGTCATCAAATGGTGTACGTAAAAGTGATTCAAAAAAATCAACTATGTCTAATGAAATGGCAAAAAATATAACAACACAAAGCAAGCAAAAGAATAAAAAGATAAAGTATGATTGTAAACTTGATGTAAAAGATACAGAAAGATTAGATGTTTCAATAAAAATGGACATGGACAGTAAAATAAAACACAATAAAATGAAAGATAAATTTGGTGCCAAGAATACTGCAGAGAGATCAGATTTCCCAACAAGATATCTAAAAGATGATAAAAAGACATCTGAGGTAATGCAAAAAATTAACATAAATAGCGAAACTAAAAGCACGAAAAGAGGTAGAAAACGAAAGCAGGACATGAATCTTGAATATGCAAATAAGGATACTGCAAGAGTCGATAATGTAAAAGAAAAGAAGAAATTACAAATTTCTGCAAAAGAATCAATCAGTTTTGAGCATAAAAAGGCAAAAATTGAGAAACTTAAAAAAATAACTGGGAAAAAAATGAAACGGATGTCAGCCGAAGCAGACGGGTGGTTGAGCATAAACACTGATGAGATATTAAAGCTGAACAATCATATAAAAAGAATCAAACAATTAGAAGAAATGCTTGCTAAAAGTACACTTGCAACAAAGCAGATTTTGAAAGGTAGACTGATTTCACAGTTAGAAATGACTAGATACAGATTTCTTAATGAGATCTACAACAATGACAGTAAGATATCCAAGCGTTACTTTAAACAGTATCCTGATGCTTGCAAAGCTTATTATGCGATATATAAATGGCAATTTGGACAATGGATGTTAAATCCACTGGACGTTATAATATCATCAATTTTAGAAATGTTTGTATATTATATCTTTATAAATAAAATTTATATTAGCTTCAACATTATAATATCTTGATAAATTGCAGACCAATGGACAATATAATTGCTGATTTCGGATGTGGTGAAGCACGACTCGATGCTTGCGTTCCTCACACAGTACATTCGTTTGATTTTATTGCTCTGAATGACAGAGTGCAACCTTGTAATATGGCTCACATCCCGTTACAAAAAGAAAGCGTCCACGTTGTCGTATTTTGTCTCTCTCTAATAGGATCTAATATTAATGATTATATCATAGAAGCCAACAGAGTTCTCAAAAAAGAGTAAGTAATAATGATATTTTTTTAGGATTGGGATAGCAGTAACATAAGAAATTAATGCTTTTGTTTTAATAAATTTTTAGTGGAGTTTTAAAAATAGCTGAAGTAAGAAGCAGATTCGAGAATGTAAAAAATTTTATAAAAGTGCTGCGCAATTATGGTTTTAAAATTATGTGGAAGGATTTTTCTCAAAACATGTTTTATTTTATGGATTTCAAGAAAGAAAAAGCTATAGAAAAAAGAAAGAAAAAAACTCTCCCTCCAATTCCGTTGAAATCTTTGTAAAGCGCTCTCTCTCAGTTCCATCGAAATCTTTGTGTAAGAAAAAGTATGATTTTATTTTATTGAGCAATATTTTATTTTTTACACAAGAAACTTAAAATATGTTTTGCAATATTTGATATATTGAGATAAATCCTTTATGCTTTTTGTAATATTGGAAACTAATTTACTATAAGCAATGAGAAATATGGACGAAAAAACGAATATTTTTATTAGAATAGATAATTATATGATATATTTTTGCTGCAACTACAATGTGCGCCATTATTTTATTATCTAAAAATATAATTTTTTTTCTCTGGGATTAATTTTCATTGTAGATTAATAAAATGTTATGCTGGCTTTGTACTACGTAAATAATTATCTTATGACGAAGCATAATTAAAATAAATACATATATTGAACTTTTTATTTGAATAATTAGAAATACTATATAAAAATATAGAATTAATAATGTACTAACTGATAGAAGTTCTATCAACTGTTAATTTTGATGGACAACAATAAGATAGTTTTTTTTACTAACAATGAATGTATTTAACATCTCGGTAAAAGCCCAAATTTCTATGAATTTTTCTATGAAATAAATAAAGTATTAGATTAAATATTTAAAATTTTTCTATTTTGTATTTTTATTATAATGTAGTAATTTATCATTTATTTACCTTTAATCATAAATTTAATAGAAGATGCCAACATTGAAGCAATTACAAGACTTTGTATAACGAAACTAACTTCTTTAATTTGATATTTCTCAGCAATAAGAAAGCTGTATGACGATTTCTATTTCCAATTCACAAATGTATTATATATATATTTGTTACATAAAATCTGCGAATTACTTTTTTTGGACGACTATATATATATAATAACTCTGAAATAATATTTTACTATTCTGCGTTTCAAATTGAGCTAACACTTGATTCATTAAAAAGTTTTATCCTGCTTTTCAATCATATTGGACACTGTGTGATACTTGTAAGCTAGTTTCTGAATTGGTTGTAATACCTGTTTGAAAACTTGTGCCGCCAAGCTGTTAAATTTTCTCAAAAAGACTCTTGTCTTTCTCAAGAGGTATGTATTGTCACTTTATGTTACACATGTTATTAACAAGATTTCAATAGCTTGCGACTTGAAACTCAATGTTATTCAAAGATATTTCATAATTTTCCTTATCATTCATTAATTTCATCTGGCAGATCAGTTCTGAAATTCTGCATATTTACTTATATTTTATATTTTATTTTCTTGTTTAACTTGAACTCTAAACAATTATTAGATCTTATTTTATTAATTACATTTTTTACATTTCTATTAATAACAGTTCCAAATTTTAACTTTTTTTGCTGCCATGCGGTTTGGAAAAAAAACTGATTTCTTATCATTTTTGACGCACCGAATCCATAAGTGAAAATATTAATATTTTATTATATCAGGTTTTCTTTTTGAGAAAAATATATGAGATTAAAGCCTCTTAAAAATATGTTTTTGATAATTTTTAAAAATTTATAATCGAAGTATTAGATGCTAGAAAAAAAATGCTAGAAATTTAAACCTTGAATATTTTGCTTTAAAATAAAAATTATTGAATCTTGCCACAGATATTAATTTTAATACGCTTTTATAAGAATAAATGTACATAATATGCATAAGATTGCGTTTTCAGTCGGAAAGGATTGGTTAAATCGATATAAAAAATCAATGAGTCGATAAATGATCGTTGTCGAATTGATATTTTTGATATTGATTGATATTTTTATTATTTTTGATCTTATTGTTTCTATATTAATTGCGAATATTTTATAAGACTTCTATTGTTTTATTGTGTATTTGACGTAGAATTTGACGTTGATCGAAAAATACTAATTTATTCAAATATTTGCAATTAATCAATTAATATAAAAAACAATTGAGATTTTAAAAAATCAGAAAATATTCGTTAGTGGCCGTTTATTAAACGCATCGACATCGATTCTAATGCTTGAGTTCTGGTTTAGGCTTACAGCAAGCTAATTATTTTTTTCACATATTAAAAAAGTTTATCAGCTACGAATTTGTAAAGATAGTAAAAAATGCGTTTTTGGCAGGTTTTAATTTTATTTTTCTTAAAAACCCAATATGACAGTAGAACATTTTTACTTGCGAATTTGAATGTTTTCTTTTTCAAATAGCAATTTTTTATATAATCAGTTTGCGCATGTAATCGTCAATTACTCACAAATATTTTCGCAAATACAACTTGTTAATCTGAAAGAAGGAAAGAAGTCTAACAATCTCAATCTGAAAGGAAGTGGTTCATTAGAAGAGACATCGGCCGTACCGGCTTAGCAACCTTGTGTGTGTCGTGTATGCGGGAGTATAATTTATGTAGTATATATATTAAACATATATATTATACATGTATTATACATGTATATTAAATTACAATAAGTCCTTTACAACGGATGTAATTATGATTGGAACGGAATGACGATTACGTGGAAAAATAGTGCTTGTGTAATATGTCATATAAGTTTTATTAATAAATATTCATTTTTCTTTCTTGTAAAATGTTCGTAACCTTCCTTTCCGAATGTGCCTCGTATAAGTAATGCAGCAAGAAATCATTGTCTCTTTTAATTATATCAATTATAAGTTAAGTTTACTTTTATAGTTTTATTTCCTATAGAAAAATGATACTTAATTTGCCCTAAATCACTACATGAAAATTTTTATTGACTTCAACTTTTGATCTTCTTACGATTTGTATAGATGTACAAAATGGACGCGTTCGAACGTATTTTAAATAGAAAATTCAAAATAGTTATAATTTTTCCATTTGAAAATGCAAAATACAAAATGGTCTTTAGACACCTATTTAAAATCGGAAATAGAAAACATATAGACATTTTTTAAATGGTTTTTTAGATTAAAAATGTTTTTTTTAAATATTTATATACATATTTTTATTTTAATATTATTATTGTTATATTTAAATTCTTATTTTTTATTCTTTATTTTTTAACTATTCTGATTTTAATTAATATTTACTTTATAATTTTTTATTTAATATAAACTTGATACTACAAAAAAAGTTTGAAACGTGATGCTTTTAAAAAAACGAGAAAATATTACCCTATTTCATTTTTTACACAAAGTCGGAAAAGCTCCTCTGAGGACTTCTTAGATGCGGAAATGCTTGTCGCGCGGCAAAATGTGACACGGCAACCAACAAACTTATAGCTCCTAAAGAAAGATGACATGTCTATTGGCTATCATGTCGCATTTTGCCACGTGACAAAATGCGACGCAGTAGCCAATAAACTTACAGCTCCTAAAGAAAGATAACACGTCCATTGGCTACTACGTTGTGTCTTGCCGCGCGGCAAGCGTTTCCGCGTCCAGTGTACAGGAGCCCTAAGAGTCTGGCCAAGCTAGTGAAATCTCACTGAAATCTGACACAATATGGCATCGTAGTAAACATTGGTGTGGTGTTTACTGTTGGTGTGTAGTATTATATAGATGTGTGTTCAATACTGCATGCAAATGAGGCATCTTATTGGTTCCGCTATATTGTATCCGCACCAATAGGATTTATGATGAGATGGCCAGATCAGAGAGGATCCTGAGGGCTCCTGCACACTGGACGCGGAAATGCTTGCCGCGCGGCAAAATGCGACGCAGTAGCCAATAAACTAACAGCTCCTAAAGAAAGATGACACGTCCATTGGCTACCGCGTTGTGTCTTGCCGCGCGGCAAGCGTTTCCGCGTCCAGTGTGCAGGAGCTCTAAAGCCCGTTCTACAATACGTCGTATGTCGGGCCGTAAACCGTAAGCCGTAAGAATTGACCATTCACAGTCAAATGTAAGAAGAACATTCGATTGTGATTAGTCAGTTTTTATGGCTTACGGCTTACGACCAGACATACGACGTATTCTAGAACGAGCCTAAATCAGTTATAAGAGCGGTCATATCTACGATTTAGTTGGGACCGGCGATGTGCTGATTTCAGCTAGAGTCCTAGAATACAGAGATGCGACACGGCGTCGGTTAGGTTAGGTAGCCACCGCCATTTTAATTCAGTAAAGT